CTGATTAGCAGAATGCGCGGCATCTTTGAGAACAACCAAACCAAGCAAGAGCCAGCCAGTCCAGTCCGATCACGGCCGGTGTCGGGTGTTTTTCACCCCGTCCGGCGCAGCAAGCCCGGCGGCGATGACGTCGAGGACCGTGGATACGACCGCAAAGCAGGGTTTCTCAACGAAGCCGAAGACGAGGTTGACGAGCAGAGCGCACTCCTACGAAGCTCTGCTGGCGGGTTGGAGGCAAATTGACCACGCTCGGGCGGAGCGGGGCTCAGAGTCGTGAGGGTGAAGCGGGACGCCGAGTACGATGAGTGGGAAGAGGACGTGAACATGGAGGAGCCGGGCGACCGGCATCGTCCGAAGCGACGCAAGTACCGCAGAGACCCGAGCGGCTTGCGGGTCCCGGTCCCTTGGAACCCCGAAGAGAAGGAAAGAGGCGGCGTCCCCGTGGAGCCCTCTGGCGAGAGCGTTTTTCGTCTGGCGTGGTTGTTTGTAGAGGGGTGGAGGCAGAAGCTCCGGAAGGCCGGGGACATGGTTGAGAAGACGCGGTGGGAGTGGGAGCTTGACGGGACTGCTACTGTTTGTACGCATAGTCGCGCGTCGAGCTTGACGTTTGGTATGGTGATTGCGGACGCTCGTTTGCGCGTGCCGGAGGAGTTGGGCATGAAGAAGAAGCAGAGAAAGTCGGTGCATTGGGCGTCGGATACACACACGATGGGAACACGATATTACGACTAATGGGTTACGGATATGGTTATGGACATGGCTTACGGGTATAGAGGATAATTGAATAATGATATGACGTTTTGGACCATTCATCACTAGCCTGCTAAAGAAAATGACACTGTCGTGCGGCTTATGCTCTCTTGCTAACTCTACAACACAACTTAGCTTCTCTAAAGTGAGTACGAAACACGATTGCACTAGGTTCAAGGACGCGACCAGGATGAACAAACGCCCTAACCGTTCCCGTAAAAGTCTTTGCCAAGGTCGCAACCGGCAGTTCAAAGTTGTCCTCGGACAATCTTAAACCCCCGCATTCTGCAGAACAAAATCAACAATGAGGGAGCGCATGAACACTGTGTGTGTAACTAAACAAACAACAAGTGGACAGCTCCGTTGACCCCCGATTCTTCTCACATGCCACCCGCAATATTACCTAATCCACATCCTCGGTCGACTGACTAGCACAAGCACGTTCATTCACTTCACTTACAGATGTTAAGCTGCTGTTGACCTCCCACCCATCAAGAGCATTCGTCCCCCACATAAGCTTGCCTTAGACAAGTAACTGGTTCCATTGAGAATGGGGAAAACCTAACCTTGATGAATTAGCATGCATGAAGGCCAAAGGGCAAAGGGGATTCTCACCTGATGATAACGATAAGGTTTCTCACTCTACACCTTTAACTCTAGCGAAGGCTGCAAGCAAGGTACACAACATGTCTCTACAGCACAATGACTCTTCTGTCATGGCCACCACTACGGGTTCCTCCCCTACCTCTGCAGCGGCAGTCCGAACCTTCAAGCGTGCCGCTGTAGCGTGCAAGGCTTGCAACCTGCGCAAGGTGAGATGCACAGTCACCTTATCTGGCCCTCCCTGCGCCAACTGCTCTGTGGACGGGATTACATGCGAGGTCCTTAGTCGTAAACGACGTCGGTGAGTCTTCTGGTCACCGGTCTCTATGATTTACTGCCGTACGGGGCCATGTTGGTGAGTTGTCCTAACGAAACAGCAACTCGGATCAACTCCCCATGAACCCATCCCCCGGAGGAGGTGGGGAGAACACGTTAATCCTCATCCCACAAAGAGCACAACCCAGAAGACGGCTCGTGGAACCCCAGACCCCGGGGCTATTGTCGGGTACCCTAGAGAATGAGGAGGCCGTCGAGTCGAGGGACGACCGGGTCACATCCGCGCCGCCCGAAGATCACCGGCGCACCACACCCCAAGTCAACGGTGGCCCGAGGTCGTCGACGTCCCCACGCGCAGCCGAGACACGATCGGTTGGCGGTGGGCCATCCGCTCCAACCACTCGGCCTTACGATGCCGTGCGTGCTCTGCTTCCAGCCAAAGGTCACCGGCCACCGGATCCATCCGATGCCACTGAGGACAGCTCCGCGTATGCAGAGACGCTGGAAGGCGGTAAGAATCGCGAGGATGGCTGCGTTCCGTTCTACCCAGGTAAGCTGTCCTCTGTCTTGGTACCTTGATGCATCAAGCATAGCTTCGAGATGGGTTTCTCTTGACATTCATTCATCTAGGAGATCAACGTGGCCCGGCCTTCTTGATCGATATCTGTGAACCCAACAGGTCATCCAAAGACAACCATTTCCTAGTGCCAATGCCATCCATCAAGGCCCTCTCGCCAGAAGATGTCAATTATCTCAGGATGAAGGGCGCCTTCACGCTACCTCCGCCTCATATCCGCGAGGCGATGATCCGGTGCTACTTTCACTATGTGCACCCATTTGCACCGATCCTGGATGCGAGCGAGTTTATAACCGAGTATGAAAAGGGAAGAAAAAGCCTGTTGCTGCTCTGGAGCATGTTCATCGCGGCCGCGAGTGTAGGTCAACGACGCAAATGAGCTATCATTCATTGCTAGGCATAGCTGACATTTACCACAGTTTGTTGACGAAAATCTCCTGACGGAAGATTTCTTTCCCTCGCGAAAGGCTCTGAAACGAGCCATGTACCAGAGAGCAAAAGTCGGCTCCCCTTCCGGTGTTCCGCCACCGCAAACAGGAGCTAATCATATTGCAGGCTATGTACGATGCAGATTACGAGAAAGACAAGGTGACACTTATCCAGTCCGTCTTCCTAATGGGCCACTGGTACACCAGCACAGACGACAGAGCCGGGCCCTGGCACTGGAACGGCATCGCCATCAGCCTCTCTCACACGATTGGTCTTCACCGCCTGCACATGCCCGCGAACCAACAAGCGTCTCAAGGTACGAAGCCGTTCTGGAGACGTCTCTGGTGGTCTCTCTACTCGCGAGAGGTATGGCTTTCTCTGGGACTCGGCAGACCTATGCGGATAGCCCTTGATGACTTTGACACGTCTATGCCGACTGCGAGCGACGCTGACGTCCTTACGCCCGAGGTCAAAGGCCAACTTGGTCAGAAGTATCTTCCTGAAGAGATGCAGTTTCTGTTCGATACCTGGCTGGCTTTCATTGGCTTGAGTGTCACCCTTAGTAATGTTCTCGCGACGAATTATAGGGCCAAAGGGATGAAGCCGTCAAGGTTGGAGATTGAGCAAAGCGAAAATCAGATTCGTGGTTTTCAGTATCGGGTGCCTGAAGCAGCAAGTCACAGTCGAGTTGTCGCATCTCATATCTACCAGTTCAAGCTGTACTTTGAGTAAGTGCCCACCGAATCAATCCGCGAGATTGAACGAGGGCGAGCATCTAACACAAGTCAGAACATCCATAATCGTACTCTATCGGCCTTTCATACTCGATACCCCGAGAGAGATCCCGGCAGCAGACCAAGGAAGTTGGAGGACTTTTGCATGCCAAAAGACGAGGACTGCTGCGTCCAACGCAAGCGCAGCGATGAACTCCATGATGGCAGAAGACCTGATCCGACTCTGCCACACCATCACGTACGAACCCCGACCTCTGCAATGATATCCTGGCCCCAGGTTCACTAACCAGCTTTCCAGAGTCATTGCCCTCGTCCCGCCAATGCAAATCCACCTCTTCGAATCAACTTCGTCAAAACAAATGGCGCGCCAGATGGGAAGACACAACCTCGCCCTCTGTATGGTCGCCATGGACGAGATGCGCAAGTCCTACATCTCGGCCGATGCATCATATAAACTCTTCGAAACGGCCATCAACAAGGTAGATAACGCGCCGCCTCACGAGCAGCATCAGCCATCTCCGGCTGCTGCTGCCTTGACGCCGGATACGAGCGCGTTCGCGAGCTGGCCTGATGGTTATGGACTGGGCACCGCGGGCATCATATCTGACATGTGGAGTCCGCTGCCGAATGCATACGCTGATAATGCCTCTATATCGGGGACCCAGTGAGTCTTTTTTATCTCGGGTTGATACCTGTACATGGTCTGATTCTTTGGCAGTACCGATTCTTGGCTGGATATCCAGACTATGGACAGGCTATGGACGCTCGACGATTTCAGTCTGCCATGATTCAGTTCATTATCTCATTACAAGCGAAACTTTTACAATGTCAACCGTGAGCACGAGCCGAAGTTGCACCATACCCACGATAAATGACACGTCCAGCATCAGCTCAGCCTCTCGGGCCAAGAACTTCTCGAACAGACCGAAACCTAGTTTCAAGCAGCTTCGAATGCCCTTGTCTGGCCCTCTCATCCCGCCGGCCAACGTCACCCAAGGCACTCAAAACGCACGACCGGCTTTCGGCCAGATTCAATGGACTACTCTTATCGAAGGACCGATAAGCTCCCGGGCTGTGGGACTAGAAATGTTGAGGTGTCCGTAGGAAATCCGAGTCCCCGGGCAACGCGTCCGCCCCCCAAGCGGCGAGTCGCGATGAAATGTGCCCCACATCTTGCCGAGCCGAGGTCCCTCGGCACTTGGGCCGCTTTGGTAGACGCACATGCAAGAGTCAAGACGGCTCTCAACAATCTCAAGTATCCGTACGGATATGAGAGATAACGAATCCTGTGTTATAGTACGAGCTCGATGTTCGGAAACATGCCGAAATGAGCGAGTAGAGAATGAAGCGATAGTACACTAATTACGGAGTAAATCGGCTCTAAATTAAGTAAAGAACTTGACTATGAGAGCAGGATTTAATGGTTAAGCGCTCATTGGGTGGTGGTCCGTTGCTTGTCATAGCTACCAAATTCATGGAATCGTCACATGTATTCGAGACTCTTCCACGGCAAGGCAAAATGTGAAATCAGAGTAGGGATTTAGACGATATTTCAAATGAGACCCATTGTGATACGAACGAAATGGAAGTTACAATCTTCAATTTTACGTTCGTAGAAAGTTGAAATGCCTTCAGATCTTCGACCTAAGTATCTCCGGTTTCCACCAAGGATAGAATGAGAAATCACTCCTATCAAATTCCCCAGAAAACTCTGCCTGTCTTTTTTCCATGAAGCTTGTCAGACCTTCCACGTTGTCCTTGGACCCAAAGGACGTGATAAACACCTTGGAGTCCAAGTCATGGGTCTCCTCCGGTGTATCAGGACAATACAACATCATGTCCCTCATCAACTTGGTACTCAAGATGGAAGTATTCTCAGCAACATCGGTCGCAAGCTCGATGGCATATCTCACAGTTTCGTCGGGAGTAGGAAGCAGCTTGGAAAATAGTCCGCTGACGAGGGGGTCGGAGGCCGTGTAAGTGCTTCCTGTTGTGACAATGTGATTCGCCTTTGAGAGACCGATGAGTTTGGGGAGGTAAAAGGCACTGACGGACTCCATCGTCAAACCGCGTCGTGAAAAAGGCATGTTAATCTTCGCATCCTGCCAGGCAACTCGTATTGCGGCGGATAAGATTGACGTGGCTCCGAACCCTGCCGCGCCCCCGTTTATGGCGACGATGGTTGGCTTCTAACATTCTGAAATGGCCAGAGCTACACGCCCACCCCTACGGTGATATTGTTAATTGATATCTCGTTTTGACGGTTGTGGGCACGACTCACGGGTCTTTCCACTGATTCATCGCATCTGGATTCTGTTTGATCTTCATTAGACCCCCTGGGCCCTCCGAAAGGTCCATTCCTGCACAAAAGGAATTCCCGGCGCCGGTCAGGACGATAGCTCTGACGCGGTCATCCCCGTCTATGATGTTGAACACAGAGACCAACTCTTCTAGAATGTTTCCGTTGACGGCATTGTGTCTCTCTGGGCGGTTCAGAGTCACGACGATAACTTTGGTGATGGTCGGAGCATCATGGGGTACGTGGCTGACGATGATGTCTTTGTAGTCCAGTGACGAGTACAGGTCTGGAACCCGAGGAACTGTTGCATGAGACATTGTGAGATGACCCGTCGTTGCTGTTCCTGATTCGGATAGCTCACAATTCAACGTTGCTACATGTAGGATCTGTTTCCGAAAGTGATCAACAATGACTCCGTGTCTTTAATACTCCAGCAACGAAGAAAAACAGCTATTGATATGACAAATGCATAAGGTTTGTGTAGCCAGCCCGATCTACTCAAACTCAGGCCGTAGTCCGAGAAGGCCTCGGTACATGCAGGTGATGAGAATGTTTTTATTCTCCAAGGAGGTTAAGCATCAATTGTGGTCCATCTGGGTAACTCCGCAGGCTCGTGAATCGTTCTAAACTATACTCATTCGCAATACGCTCTCAATTTGATGCAATCACCGCCGAATGATAAATGTTACTCTACTAAGAGTCTAGCTGAGCCATGTTGAACTCACAGAACGGGCTACTCCGTCTGATGCAAGTCAACCCTGAGCTCAAGGGCCCACATCCAGCCGAGGGCCGTTTGTCTCTCGACTCGAAGGGGCCATCTTTCCGTCAGAAGAACTTTCTGTATAAACCAAGAATCATCAATTTTCAACGCGGTTTGGCATCTACTTTGGGCAATGACCCGTTGCCGTTCCTTGAGGCTCCCAGGCGGGGTGCATGTACTTGGTCTCGCCGAGCACTCAGTTTAGTTGTCGATGGATGAAGCTCTCAACAACTAGCTAGAGGATATCCCAACAAACGTGGGTCGTTTTTCATATTTGAGAATAATGAAGAGATGGAAATGCCCAAGATGGAGCTTCACTTCAAAGTTATTTAATCGAGTCCAACGCCGAAAGGGGCGAACGAACAACCTCGCTGGAAATCGAGATCGGCAACATTCCAAACCCACTGAAGCAACGGGGTCTATTCAAGAAAGAATCTGTCGAAGTGCCTATATCCCTAGTCGCTACGAGTTGTAGACTATGGCGGGTCTTTGGAACGATTTGGTCTCTTGCGGACAGATGGCCTTGTCGCTTCTAAGCGTCAGATCATTCTTGATAGGATTGGCCCTCGCCAACATGAAGAACTGGCACTTTGTCTGGACCGTAAGTGGGAACAACGGACGCCTCTGACCAAGCTTCCACGAAGAGTTCTCGTAGCTAAATCACATCTCGCAGATCCGATTCCTACGCGCCTTTATCCGACGTCTAACAGACTCCGCGCCGCCGAAGCACCTAAGCTCACGATGCCTCTTCCTCCCAGCCATTTCCGCGACGCGATCGCCGCTGTTGGAATGTGATTACAACATGCACAAGTCCAACTCGACTTACTTCACAGACCTCGACATGTCTCGCGGCAACATCAGTCTGGTGCTCTTCCGGGAACCTTTCAACCCGTTCCCGGGACCTAAACACTTCATCATGATCCTCGGCGGCGCACAGTGCGTCTGGCGTAAGGAGATTGCGCCTTACGAAAAGTACGAGCTGTGGACGCGGGTGTTGTCGTGGGACGAGAAGTGGATATATCTCGTGTCACACTTTGTAGAAGCAGATGTATTCGTGCCGGGGGAGTACGCGATGCAACCAGGCCCGAGGGAAAAGAAGAACAAATACGGAGGAATTGAGGCTAAAGATCCTCAAAAGGCTGTCTTTGCATCGTCAATCGCTAGATACGTTTTCAAGAACGGTCGAAGAACGGTGCCTCCGGAACAGGCCTTGTCTAGATGTGGCTTGCTGCCGGCCGACGAAGCCGAGTCGGCCGAAATGGAACGGCTGAGATTGAAATGGCTGCCCGTAGCCCAGCTCAAATCCGGTTGGGATTCCGTGCATGGTCTTTTCGAGCCTGGTGAGCTCGCTCTCGGCAGATACACCGACCTCTGGTGGCGATGAAGCAGATTTTCTCAGCTTCGCACTCAATCCAATACCTTTAGACTTCGAGAAAGCCTTAGTTGCATTTAGAGCGGGAAGACAATTCCCTGCGAAAGGCAGCTGTAGCCCTGCGATTGTGAACTCTCGCGGAGACATCCATAGTTTGGGTTGTGGCTAAATGTCGATCGAGGAGGTTAATTCATGCAGAGTTTGCCCTATTATCGAACCACTCTCTGGATCATGCATAATCCCTCGAAAGAGCCCGAAAGCCTCAGCTCATATGGCGTAAATCACAATTTGAGACATATTGTCACCAGCACTTGAAATACAAAAACCTCGATTGGCTCTATCGTGATTCAACCAATTCTCCAGGAACCCCGACATCCAAAACTCCATCCTGGTCCCGCAGGAGTTGGGAGCTTGGGTCCAAAGGCCGGCGGTGAATTCGTGCTTACATCCCACTTCCTGGCCTGCATGGAACTAGCTTCGTGTACGTGTCAGCGCACCGGATCCTTTCCTGATCTGCGCCGCTGCAGTCCTAAACTCTCGTGCTCCAAGTTCGTACACTGACGCGCCAAGAAGGCGTCTCCCTGCGTCATGGTGTCTCTGTTCCCCGCAAACAGGCAAGCGAGAACGAACGCACGAGAGGGAATGCAAGGTCGCGTGGGGTTACGTTGGCAGTGGTGGAATTGACGATGAGTCGTTGACGGACGAGTACTTTTCTAGTCTTCCGTACAACGGGCAGCCGCTTTCAACGGAAACCTCACTGGACTCCGAGAGGACTCCATCATCAATGGCGGGCGCACGGCGTCATGTCCGCCGAACGAACCCGTTGACTGCCTTGACCCGGGGCGGGAGGGCAAAAAGCATCGGTTTGGCCGACGGAGCGGGATGGGGCAACTCGACGGCCGGCAAATGGGCTGCAAGAATTCGCCGTAATAACGGCGGCAGCTGTCCATTGCTGCGCCGTAGATGCACGCAGGCGACGGATCTCGGGACTAAACCACCCTGGCGGCCTTAGTCTTGGGATCCAATGGGTTGGGAGGTGGGTGGCGCCGTGGTAGCACACGGGTGGGTGCCGGTGGGCGGGCGCGTTGGTTTCTGGTTAGATTCGCACTGGGAATGGTCTCATCAGTCGGTCTCTTCGGCACTGATTCTATGAGATCCGTCTAATCATTAAACGAAGTGCCTTCACGTTATTAGACAGTACATAGAGTATTATGGACCAAGATCGCGGGACGAGGATGCCAAATCCGTCTCGTTGCATGGGGGGGACGGGAGTGAAAAGAACCCCTGGCTTCACCGCCCACCAACAAATGCAACACTCCAAGAGTCCATAGAGCCCCCCGACTCAGTGGCCAAGTGTCACTGCTTACTTTGCTGGCATTCCATAGGGCAGAGAACGCTTGAAGCAAGTCGGCGCGGAATTGGACTGGCGCCGAATGCCATGTTTCACTAGAGACGGGGACGGACGGGATGGCCGAGCTTGGCTACGAAGCTGGCTCGAATCCGCACGATTGCGTTCATCTCGACCATTGAGATCACCGGGATTGGCCCACCTGTCGCTCAACTTGCCGTGAGGGAAAAAAGTGGGAAAATGGGAAATCTTTTTTCGGCCATGATATCAGCGTTCATCCTCGTGCTCCACGCATGAGAATGGGACCGAGGCATAACGCTTGACAAGCTCGAGAGATTAGCCACATACATGAATTGGAGGGGCTCAGGCGATTCTCGAATTTGAATATTATCAGGCCGATATCCCCTCCTGTTGCTGGATTTTGTCTCACCACATAGAAGCATTCAAATCTCTCAGTTAGCTGACTGACCAACAACGCTCGAGGACCACGACCACACCCTCGACACTCACAATATACGCATACGAATAGATAAACACATACATACACAACATGTCGGAAACAGTACCGATCCCAGAGCCCGGCGGACTGCCATTCCTCGGCAACCTCAACGAGATCGACTCTGAATTTCCCCTGGGATCTATGATGTCTCTTGCGGACCAGTATGGTGAGTGATGAACCCCCTGACTCATGCGAGCCAGACCCTCTTATCTTATCCATGGCGTGCAGCTGACAGTGACATGCGCCCCTGAAGGCGAGGTTTACCGATTGAGATTCCCAGGACGTTCAATTGTCCTGGTCTCGACACAGCAGCTCGTGAATGAAACTTGCGATGAGAAGCGGTTCAAGAAGTCCGTGAACTCGGCATTAAATGTGAGTTTGCCAAGCTAGACTCATATCATTAGCCTGTACATGTACACGGAGGTCATACTCATTCCCGAATAGCAAGTCAGAGCAGGTGTCCACGATGGACTCTTCACAGCGAAAATGGGCGAGGAGAACTGGGGCATCGCTCACCGCGTGCTCATGCCCGCCTTCGGCCCTCTTTCGATTCGCGGCATGTTCGATGAGATGCACGACATCGCTACCCAGCTGGCATTAAAATGGGCGCGATACGGCCCCGAATCGGCAATCATGGTGACGGACGATTTCACGCGATTGACGCTCGACACATTGGCCCTATGCTCAATGGGATACCGATTCAACAGCTACTACTCACCCGTTCTTCATCCCTTCATTGAGGCCATGGGCGACTTTTTGACCGAAGCCGGTAACAAGTCGCGTCGTCTCCCGCTCCCGGCCATGTTCTACAGCGCAAAGGACCAGAAGTTCCAGCAGGACATTGACACCCTCAGGACCACGGCCAGAGAAGTTCTCGAGTCAAGAAAGGAAGGGAAGAGCGATCGCCGGGATTTGCTCACGGCCATGCTCGAGGGAGTTGACCCGAAGACCGGCAAGAAGATGACGGACGAGAGTATCATGGATAACTTGATCACATTCCTCATCGCCGGTCACGAAACGACGTCAGGACTCTTGTCATTCGCTTTCTACCAGCTGCTGAAGCACCCCGAGGCGTACCGCAAGGCCCAGCAGGAGGTCGACGACGTTGTTGGAAAGGGACAGATCAAGGTCGACCACATGTCTAAGCTGCCCTACATCAACGGTGTGCTCCGCGAGACCCTGCGTGTCAACGCCACGATCCCCGTCTTCTCAGTTGAGGCCTTTGAAGATACCGTGCTTGGTGGCAAGTACCCCGTGGCCGCAGGCGAGACCATTGTCAACCTCCTTGCCAAATCCCAGCTCGATCCCCTAGTCTTCGGCGAGGACGCCAACGAGTTCAAGCCCGAGCGCATGATGGACGAGAACTTCAACCGCATCACCAAGGAGTTCCCCAACTGCTGGAAGCCGTTCGGCAACGGCATGAGAGGATGCATCGGTCGCCCTTTTGCCTGGCAAGAGGCCCTGTTAGTCATGGTTATGCTTCTCCAGAACTTTAACTTTGTGCTGGACCCCAACTACCACTTTGGCGTCAAGCAGACCCTCACCATTAAGCCCAAGGACATGCACATGCGCGCCATCCTTCGCGACAACCTCACCCCGACGACTCTGGAGCGCCGCCTGGCCGGTCTCGCCGAGCCCGAGAAGCCCGCCGAGCAGGCCAAGGCCAACGGAGCTGCCGCCGGCGCCGAGACAGGAATGCCTTTGACGATCCTTTACGGATCCAACAGCGGAACCTGCGAGGCTTTGGCGCAGCGCGTCGCCTCCGATGCCGCATCCCACGGCTTCCGCGCCACCAAGATCGACTGCCTGGACAGCGCCAACGGCAGCCTTCCCACTGACCAACCCGTTGTTATCATCACAGCGTCGTACGAGGGCCAGCCTCCCGATAATGCTGGCCACTTCGTGGCCTGGATCGAGGGACAGGACAAGGCCAAGTCCTCTCTCAAGGACGTCTCCTACGCCGTCTTTGGCTGCGGCCACAAGGATTGGGTTCAGACTTTCCACCGTGTTCCCAAGTTGGTCGACACTACCCTCGAGCAGCTCGGTGCGACTCGCCTGGCCGAAGTTGGTCTGACGGATGTATCGAGCGGCGAGGTATTCACCAACTTTGAGTCATGGGAGGACGAGACCCTCTGGCCCTCATTGACCAGCAAGTACAAGACAACTTCCCCTGCCGAGGATAGCAAGACCAAGGGACTGGGTGTTGTCATCAGCAACCCCAGAACCTCGACCCTGCGCCAGGACGTCAAGGAGGCCACCGTCACCAAGACCGCGACGCTCACCAAGGGCAGCGACCCCAAGAGCATCAAGAAGCATGTTGAGATCAAGCTCCCCGAGGACATGACCTACACTGCTGGCGACTACCTTGCTGTTCTGCCCATCAATCCCAAGGAGACTGTCTACCGTGCCATGCGTCGTTTCCACATCGCCCGTGATGCCCACCTTAGCATCAAGACTGACGGACCTACCTCTCTCCCTGTCGATACTTCCGTGCCCGCCAACGACCTCTTGAGCTCTTACGTTGAGCTTTCGCAGCCTGCTACTAGAAGAGTAAGAACCATCCTCTTTACCTACCGTGACCATCGATACTAACAATATTGCAGAACATCCTTGTTCTCGCAGAGCACGCAAAGGACGAGGCCACCAAGACCGAGCTGAACCGCCTCTCAGGCGATGCCTACGCAGACGAGGTCAGCGGCAAGCGTGTCTCCGTCCTTGACCTCCTCGAGCGCCACCCCTCCATCGACCTGCCGATCGGCGTCTTCTTGTCCATGATGCCCCCGATGCGCGTCAGACAGTACTCCATCTCCTCTTCACCGATGGCGCACCCAAACAACGTCACCCTGACCTTCTCCGTCCTCAACGAGCCCTCTCTCTCAGGCCAGGGCCCCTACATCGGCGTCGCCTCCTCCTACCTCGACTCCCTCGCCGAGGGCGACAGCCTCCATGTCTCCATCCGCCCATCCCACGCCGCCTTCAGCCTCCCCACCGATGCCGAGAACACGCCCATGGTCTGCGTCGCCGCCGGCACCGGTCTCGCTCCCTTCCGCGGCTTCATCCAGGAGCGCGCCACCATGCTCGCAGCGGGCCGCACCCTCGCACCCGCGCTGCTCTTCTTCGGATGCCGTTCGCCCGAGGAGGACGATCTGTACCGTGACGAGTTTG